GGCCGGGCTATTTTGACAAAACCCGAGCCCGGCTCGAATTTATTGCGGGCCGGGCTTTTTGGCCCAAATTTAAGCCCGCGGGCCTATAAAAATGTCCAAGCCCGTCCGGGGGTCGGGCCGGGCCGGGCCGGGCCGGCCTGTCGGGCCACCCAGCCCATGAACAGGTCTAGTAACATATCAAGGATGGTCCAAGCCTATGAAAGTTATGCAGACTCCCATTTACTAATTTATAAGGGTGTGAATGGACCGGTTTTGGATTGGACCCCATTCAGTCCAAAAATCAATTTGGATGGATTGGAAAGGACCAACAAGACATATTGGATCGGACCAATCCAGTCCAAAATATTTATTAGATTGGAGTGGGCCTGGTCCGTCCATAACAAATTTATATTGGATTGGGTTGGATTAAGCCAATATCCGGTCCATTGATATAAGATAAAAATATATGTGTCAAATGGACCGGATTTGGATTGAAACCAATCTAAATCAAAATGAATTTGAACAGATTGAACGGTCCAGACATTGAATTGGACCAGTCTAAATTGGTCTAAAACATTCACTGGATTGGATTGGACCTAATCCATTTAAAATGGACTCACATTGGATTGGATCGGATTGGACCAAATCCAATCCAATTGACACCCCTATTAATTTAAATACTAATGCAAAGAACAACAATCTGTGTTGGCAATCCAAAGAATCCAAAGAACAACGATTTTAACACATCTGTATTAACGATTTATGCGAACTGGGTTCCGAAAAACAACAAATAGGGATGATTTTGGCTATTAAAATCCAAATAAATTGTCTCATTTAAGTATTATTTTCAATCCCATGTACAATTGAATTCAGAAATGAAAAAACTAAAACTAAAAACATACCTCGGTTGATAAATTGTGGGAGCTGGGTTCTAGGATTGATCCGACCCCCAATGAACAGCGAAAAGTGATGGTTTTGGCTCAAGGGAATGGAAGCACTGGGAAGTGTATTCTCAGCAGTTATCTTATTACTTAGATTGTTTTATGGAGATTTCAAAAACAGGGGAAGAGTGTAATTTCTCTCGGTTTGGGTAGAGGGAAGAGAAGAAGATGGGGGTTTGTTAGGAGCGTTAAAAGAGTTCGCTTTTGCTACGAACTGTCGTGGCGCAGGCTAAAACAGAAAATCATGGCGTTGGATCTACTGCAGTGGCCTCTAGCAAGAAGTCACTTGATCTAATTCAAGGTGGGGTCATGACAATAAATTAAGGCTGTGTTTAGAATCGGTGTAAATCAATAACGGTGTAATGGTGTAAACGTTTAAATCTGTTCGATTTTGTTCGTGTTTGGAAGGAGAGTATAATCATAATAATTTTGCATACGTTTGGATGGAATGGAGTTTTATATCAATAATCGATGTAAAAGCTATCAAACATAAGGTTTTATGTCGATTATCAATGCAAATATTATATCGATTTTATTGATGTAAAACTTTACACTTTTCATCCATTGCATTTTTCAAAATAATGATTATTTTCACGATTTAGTGTAAAACATGATCGATATATTTTTACATCGATAACGTTTTACACTGATTCCAAGCGCAACCTAAAGGCTTTGATTTACTTGTTTCAGCAGACGACTACGACACTGTCCTCGCAAATGTGGGTTGGCGTTAAAGGGAGTTGATGAGGGCGGATTTGGCCCTCCAATGATATTGTGACACATGGCACCTCGGAAGAAATAGGTGACACCCATAACCAATTAGGCAACAACTTGCCTTAGCCAAGTTGATGGTGTCCCACCTAGCGGCTGACCCAGACGCGAACTGGTGGCCTAGCCCAGGCGCGACCAGTCGGCCTGGCCCAGACACGAATTGGCGGCCTGGCACAGGCGCGAACTGGTGGCCTGGCACAGGTGCGAACTGGCGGCCTGGCCCAGGCGCGAACTTGCACAGGCGCCAACCTGGCGGCCTGGCACAGGCGCCAAACTGGCGATCTGGCACTGGTGCCGACCTGGCGACCTACGAGACGTGCTTGCCGACAAATTCGACATGCATATCCTAACTCTCCTACGATGCTTGGAAATTGGCCCACGTGCCGAACAATCCAGAGGGTGGTCAACATGCATGGCGGTTGCCTCAGGAAATCTCGGACCACTTAGACGACTTCTCGAAAATCTCGGATGCGGTGCGTGAAGCCCAAGCCAAACAATGCCTATATAAAGGCACCAACCCCAATGGCATAGGGGGCAAGTAAGCATTATCTAGCTCTCATACTTTGTGATTTTTAGCTCGCAGTTTACTATGAGAGTACTGACTTAAGCATCGGAGCGACCTCGCCAGGTTAGCCACCCCGGGTCCTTTGACAATGATTCCTTGTAGGTCTCTAAAGAACTACGAATCTCAACAATCAATCCAACTCGACCCTCTGGTCAGCTCGGCAACTAATAGGCAGCTCAACACTCTGGTCAGCTCGGCAACTAATAGGCAGCTCGGCCCTCTGGTCAGCTCGACACCTAATAGGCAGCTCGACACTCTTGTCACCTCGTCACTTAACCTGCCTAACACGATCCAATCAGCTCATCACCTAACCTGTCTAGCTCGGCCCAGTCAGCTCGTCATCTAACCTGCCTAGCTCGGCCCAGTCAGTTCGACACCTAACCTGCCCAGCTCGGCCCAGTTAACTCGGCACCTAATCTGCCCCCAGCTTGGCCTGGTCAGTTCGGCATCCATGTCCTCATCCAGTAAAAGTTCACTTCGGCCTCTGAGTCATCGGCCACTTGGAAGCAGACCAAATAACGAGATACTTAGCACCAAAAATTGATTCATCGGGAATTATTTTAGGTATAAGGGAAAAATAGGTGAAAACTACATTGGGGAATTTCTTATCTAAACGTCTCAGTCTGGGGAAGTTTCCTTCCATAACAAAAAGTTGGGTTATGATATGAGAGAAGCTTTAGGAAACTGTCACGTAGCACAATGGGAGGCTTGGGTTGGGGAAAGAAATGAATGAGAGAGAAAGGATGGGGAAGGGAGGAAGGAAAGGCCGTTTAAGGATGGATCGGATCGGATCGGATTAGAATCAAGAATTTGAATCCAATTTGACATTATTCATATTGGATCTGATAGGATTTGATTAGAATTCGAGTCTTATTAGTAAGTCGGATATGCGGATCTGATTCGGTCCGACCTGTTTTCTTTAAAAATTAATAAATTATTAAAAGAAAAATAAAATATACTAATTTAAATAAAGTATAAACAAAAAAATACAAATATTTTTTAATTATTTCATCATATATATACATGTTTTTTATAAATAAATAGATAATATAACAAATTTATAAATATATATTTATAAATAAATAAATAATAGATATATATGTATTATATATATTTCTATTTATAAATATATAATATATATCAGATCAGATCTTCTCAAATTGGATAGAGATGATCTGAATTCAACCAAATAGGATTAGGTCTCGAATCGGATCATGATCCGATCCATTTGCACCCCTAGGGATAAGGGATGCATTGGAGGATCGCTGACGTGGGCTACTTTGATTTATATATATATATATAGTATAGTACTATAGATTAGCGTGTTTATTTGTGAATGGCCCGTGGCTAGAACTAGGAGGGCTTTCATATGAGTTTAAATCAGCCCCCCACAAGACTGCCTCCCACAACGTCCCACAGCACATCTTCACCATGTATTGGGAACATCTCCCGATGATAATATCTGGAATGATGATGTCATCATCGAAAGATGTTCCCAATACACGACGGGGATGTGCTGTGGGACATTGTGGGGGGCAGTTTTGTGGGGTGCTGATTCAGTCTCCTTTCATATTGACATTAGAAACATACAATGGGTACATTGACGACGGAACTCCTACAAGCAAAAGTTCTGCACATACTCTAAAAAGATGAGAATCTAGCCCCACATACAATGTGTGACTGGATCTTATGTACAAAGAATTTTTGCGTGTAGGTGATTTGGGCTCTACTTAATAAGTATTCAAAGAATTTGTCATGTATCCACCTTCCCTGACTTGATGGGGTTGGGAATGGAGATTGCTTTGGTGAGGATGGGGCGGGGATGTGGATTGATAGTGATACCTGGTCGGGGATATGGAGAGTAAATTCTCCACCTTGCCTCGACCCTGATTATATATTAAATATATACATATATAATATAATTTATACGAAACTATATTTACATTTTTAAATTTTGGGGATTCGTGTCCCCAACGGGGAATCCATTTCTGTTAGGGATTGGGGATGGAGGGTCACTTTTGTCCCCGACAAGGATTGTGGTCAGAGATAGGAATTTGTTTCAAAATCAGGGTTAGGAGTATGATCCCTGCCCTGAACTATTGGCATTCCTATGACACCTCTCCCTTAAATAATAAATACCCCTAAACTATTCTTTAAAATATTAAAATCAAATTTATAAGACAAATGCTAGAATATTTATTGAATGATAAGAGAGTGCTTACAAGGGTGTGCCTACTGCCTAGTAGATCTATCATTAACGAATCTCCTACCCATAAACTCTTTCACTGAACATGTTCCTAAGACCCAAATTTTATCATTGTACAGACATCTATGAACTCTTCCTACAAACCTCGAGCCATGTAACTAATCATGAGTGAACACGATGAGTGGCCTCTTCTTTAGGTTGTATTTGGTTTGAAGGAAAAAATAGGGAAAGGAAGAAAAATGTAGGGAAACCTTTACAAGCATTGTATAGGTTTCCTTAAGTTTCCCTTCCTTTCCTTACTTTTTCCTTCAAACCAAACATAGCCTTAAAATAATGATTAAGTACAGATAGGGCTGATCCATTAATTAAAAAAGAAACTGGGTAGGATTGAAAATATTAATAGTGGCCTCTTCTTTAAAATAATTAAGTAGGGATAGGGTTGATCCACTATTTAAAAAAGAAATTAGGTAGGATTGCATATGCATGAATTTAATCCGATTCAATTAGAAATTTAGAAATTGAAAGTTACCTATGATAATTAACTTCACCAAAAAGTTGATTTTTCAATTCATGTAAACCTTTATTTTTTGACTTTTGGAATATTTATGAAACACAACTTGACAACTTACCAGCTGTCAAGTTAGGGGTCTGATCCCCCTAACTTACCAGCTGAAAAAGGTGCCAATCTGTTGGTAAAGTCTCTAGCTAGTTGTAGTGGAGACTTGGGATTGAGTCCCGCCTTCACCTGAGTTGGGGGCCGGGATGTATAGGTTTTGGGGAGAGCTAATTAACCTTTATATTCAACAAATTATCTTTTAAAATATATAAACATATTTTTACATGTAAATATATGTTTAATCTCTAAAAATATGCATATTTTATAAATACAATAACATTAGTGTTTTATAAAACAATTAAAATATTAAATTCCTTTATTTTTATCCTATATAATTAAAATTAAAAAAAAAACATTCCTCTATTAAAACTTGGGATTCCTATACCTTCTCCCACCTTCAAACCATTTTTTAATTCTCAAAACTCTATCCCTTTTGAATAGACTACTGTGTGCCCCTGGTTTCTCTTTGATTATCATTGAGTAGGCTACAAATGGATTAGATTCTAAATAAATGTACCTATATATATCCAAATTTGATTTGTTAATATTCAAATTTGAACCGAATATCATCCATTAGTTTTAAATCAAACTTGGATTGGACTCAAATATTATATCTCATTAATAAATTAAACTAAAATTAATCAATATATTATATTTTTTACTAACTAAAATGATCTAAAATCACTTTAATATTGTATATTTTATCCAAAATGTAATGAATAATTACTTAAAAATTAACATGTATATATACTTTAAATCTTAGCATATGGCAACATTGAAACCAACTTAACTTAATAATCAATAATTCATATTAATTTTATTTTTTTTAACTAATTTAGGATCCAATAGGGATAGATCCAGATTTTTTTTTGAAATCGCCCTTAGGCATCATATTTTATTCAATCAAGAAATTAAAACAAAAAAAAAGCTGACAAGGCCAATTAGAAAACCCAGAAACAATTTCTCAAGAGAACAAAATAAAACAATTGATGAAGAAAAACTTAAAGATCTTTTGCAACCGAGAAACGATGAATCAAATCACCAACAAAAGTAAACAAGCACATCTCCAATCCACCACAGACGGCTAATGAAATTGATAGAGGAGGATTCCAAAATACTATCATTGCCGAAGAACAACGAACAGATCTCACCATGAATAGCATCAACCAGAGAACCGCGAATGGGACTCACCATGAACAACAACTATCGGAAAACCGCGAGCTAACAGAGGAATCAAAAGATTGGCTTTGCCGGCGAACAACGAACTTGAACGAGAACCACGAACATATTCAAATCACGAACAAATAAACAAAACATTAAGAAACTCAAGAGGAAAACCTCGAGAAAACTCGAGAAGAAGACTCTCTCGAAACAGAGAGAAAGGAAGGAGGGAGAGAAACCAGGAGGAGGAAGGGGAAGGAGAGCCCAGATGGGCTGCTCCCTTCAGGATTCCCAGAAGGGAGCCGCCTTCAAAGAAATCCCTTTGAGAGCGCCTCTAATAGGGACGGATCCATATTCATTCCAATTATAAACAACAGATTGAATTCAGATTGCTTTAATTGGATTCAATTGGTGGAATAGATGCCATTTGCAGCCCTATCATCGAGAGACTAACATGTGTAAATTGCAAAATTCAAACATATCAAAGGTCATGGATCTACATAAATAATGGGTCAAATTTTGGATTGCATTTAATAAATGGAATTAATCATGTATAAGAATACTATAGGCCTTTTAATTACAATTAATTTCCTATGGAGTGAAGTATTTAATTTACAAGTTAAAGCAGCTTAATTATCAAATGAGTAATCATCCATCCTCACATTGCAAGCTTCTCTTAATATTCTGCAACGTACATGAAATGAGTGTGTTAACAGTTTCAAGAGACTCCATCGTCACTTTGGCTGTGGGGGAGCTTTTGGCCAGGATTTGGAAAGCTACGGTAAGCAAAGAACCCCCTTCCATGGTTTTCTCCTCATCATCTGGCTTCGAAGTGAGAACCAGAGACCTCGTTTCAAGCCCGTCTGGCAGAATCGAGAACCCTGAAGGCAGAATGGCGATGTTGCTTGAATCGCATCCACTCATCACTGTCTGCATTCCGTGGATGTCCACTGGAGCATACACCACCATGGATTCATAAGCATTCGTGCAACTATCTTGCAGCACCCAGACGCTGCTCTCTTTTGATTTCATCGCCTGAATTCAACACAGATATGAATTCTAAATTAACCCTCGTTTGGAGATGATGAGTTATTCAATTCTAAGTTGACTGAAACCGGAAAGATTATCAAAGTCAGGGCTAGTGGTGAAAGACTATTATGGTTACCATATATATGTAAAGGTTACGCTGGACTAGCACCAGTCCAGATCTCCTACCCACATGGGGAGCATCTCATTCTCGCTCTTACATGTTATTATGCATAGGGTGGTATTCCCAATCCGTACCAAGTTTGGATCTTGTGAGTAGGTGTGAGAGCTGAAGTAACACATGCACACACTCACCCACCATTCCGTGCCAAGTTTGGATCTTTTACCCATCAACTCTTCCCATATCCCTACCCATAGGTCGTTACAGGCACACTGAAGGTTTAAAGTGTGTTGTACTTAACACAACACACTAACTTTTCAACGAAAATGAGATACACAATAGTGGGATTTTAATCCACGTCTCTGTTGGGACTACCTAACTAACATGCCAACGGAACCACCACACCATTGGTGGGGTATCAGAGACCTAATGATATGATAATGGACATATCGTGTGAAAATTTTGAATGCACACATTGGAGATGTTTCCAATACACATTGTGGGTAGGATGTGAAAAAAGTTTGTGGGTAGAATATCCGAAGTGTGATTTGTGCACGTGCCTGTCTTTAAGTACTACAAATTGTTCCCACATCCATATTCATAGAACACCATCACCCTGTATTGGGAACATCTCCCATGAATGACAAATAGAGATATTCCCAATGTGTGGGGCAGCAGATCTGACCCTGCCCCTTTTCGAATTATCTTTATTTCAAAAAAAAAAAAAAAAAAATCAAAGCGAACTTACTTGGACTGTTACTGCATTGCCACGATCTTTTCCCTTGGCTATATTTGCAATGGATTGAACTGGACCTCCGGTTGACATGATGTCCCACTGAAATATTAATTCATCAAACAGAAATCAGCAAATTGACCCATCAAATCTTATGAAAAATCAAAGAGAATATAGTGTCCATGGCCTTGACCTCAGTCCGTTGAGCCTCATCTCTCAAGAAATCAAAGAGAACATGGGGAGAGACAGGCAAGAAAACAGATGAAACTGCACATAAGATCACTCCCAGAGGTTCTGCTGGGTCATTCAAGTTCTTCCTAGAGGCCACCCTTATGTCATCTCCTCCTTTGGCTGAGATCTTGGCCCATGTGTTAAAGCTAGATGCACCCACAGCACGGCAAAAGCTCCCTGTCATTCGTTGAGCCAACTTCAACATGCTTTTCCTTCCCGCTTGAGTAGTTACTCCTGTGGTTCAACATATGAGCTTGAATCAACACTCAAGATTAATTAGGTGGCATTTGGTCTTTTGGGGTTTGGCAAGTTTGAAATATTTGTTTGATAATCAAAAGTTGGTAAGATCGAAAAAGTTTGGCGTTGAATTTGGGGAAGTTTCAAATGAAAGCACTCGATTGGCCATGGAAGTGAAGTGGTTAGAACTTAAAAGATCTTTTTGAAAATACTTGCCGAACGACGCCTTAAAATGGAACTAACCGCTTGAATCCTTTGTGGGTACATTGGTGGCCATGAAGAAAACTATTCTCTCGCATTGGAGCTGAAGTGTTGCCATCCAGTGCCTCGCACCAAACGCAGACCCACTATTAACAATGGAGCGAAACATGGTGTGGACTGTGCTTTTCTGACATTCCAAGTGCTCGACCAAAGTCACCTGAAAACCATTGAAAGATTATTCAAGAACAGAACTCGATCTTATATATAGTGCAGAAATTCTACCTCGCCCGTTGCAGAAATTTTCAGTACTGAAGTTTCCAATCAAACTAAGATGAGTACCTTGCAGTGGCCATTAGATTTGTCCTCAATAATGCAGCCAGACGGCCGTTTTCTGCATTTGACGAGGGATGCATCGATATTGTCTTCAACCTTGTCAATGGATACATCGACTATGGCGAACCGCTCGGGACTCAGTTGCTTGCAGTATCGGATGAAACAGACCTCTCTCGTGGGCACCATGGGTGTGAGCATTTGCAGTTCAGCAAACATCTGAGATCAACGATGAATGTTAGAAAATCTACTCATCATGCATCTATCAACGTAGCTAACACAGATGAAGGAGAGCAAAAATGCATCACTTACTAGCTGCACTGCACCATTTCTGTTGACGCCTTCTCCGTTGCAGATAACATCTACAGTAGCTGCTTTGGAGATCATGCAAGGAAACATTTCTTTCCATTGATTCTACAAGCAGGGAAATAATCAAATTAACCAGAAGCTTTAATTACCCACGCGAAACTAAGAAACAAGAAACGTGAAGATCTTAATTACCGCGTCCATGAAAGCTTGGACTAGTCTTGGGAGGTCGACGAAGACTACGCCGGTCTCTCTGGAGGCTTCGATAGATCGCTTGATACGCCCACTGTTGGAATTCTCAACGGAGAACTCACGAATGTATTCATCATAATTAAGTATCTCACGGCCGGTCTCGACGCTTCTGACCCACAGCGGTTCACCTGCGGTGGCCATTCTGTTGACCTCTTCCAGAGCTCGATTGACCATCTCCATGATTCTGGACTTGTCAAGCCCAAAAACACAAGAGTAGTAATCTAAGGAGCTTCTGTTCTGTTGGTCATTTCCTGCAGAGCACGAGGAGCTGGGTGATGCCGTCCCTGCAGGGTATTTCCCTACAGTTGCTCGTAGCTTTTCGAGCTGCATGCAAGAGGATCAAAAGATGTCGTATAAACAAAATGCAATATCTATGATGCATCTGCGGCTGGCGGAGTTCACATCTGGGGCGCCCCACAACGGCTCACAGCACATCTCAACCATGCATTGAAAACATGTCACAATGACAAGTATGGAGATAGTTCTCAATGCAGACATAACATCTCCGCTCCACAAGGGGCCGCCCCACAGTACATCTCCGTCCTGTATTGGAAATATTTTTCGATGATAATATCATCAAGACTGATACTATCATCGGAGATGTTCTCGATACACGACGGGGATGTGCTGTGGGGTGGAAATGTAAACTCCTAAATACATGCATGCTGAGATGTGCACGTGGGGTGCTCCCTTGTGATTTCCCTGTTGGTGCAACAAAGACATGATTACTTGAAGGTGATGGTAATTACATCTTGTTAATTAAATGTGAATCAATAAAAGTTAAGTAAATTTTAACTAATGTGTGAAGAGTCAATCCGGACCATGCGCCTAGTTGAATTGTAAGGCTCAGTTTGAAAAGAGTACAAATCTAAATATCTACGATGCAAATACATACAAAATATAAGGCTTTGCACTCTATATATTTGTATTTATACTCATTCCGAACTGAGCCTAAACAAAAATATCCTTTGTGATCTTCCAGGATTTAATTTGCTAAATTTAAATTTTAAAAACAAATAACTAATAATGAAGGTGGGGAAGACCTTTTTATAATTAGTTATGTATTAGTAAGTGATACCATATAAAATATATTATGCAACAAATTAAAAGAAAAATAATTTATTTTCAATCACTCAAAGTGCTGATTTCAAAATGATAAATACATAAAGGCAAAAGAAAGATTCACCTTGGGTTGTGGATTATTTAAAAACAATGAAAAATGCAACTTTTAGAATAAAGAACCCAAAACATTTAGTTTGTCATTATGGGCAGCTCATGTTAATAGATGAAATAGAAAATGATGAATATGGGATGATGGCAGAATAAGAGAGTTAGAAAGTTTTTTGTATTTCTTGATTTTTATGATGTAGGGAAAATATATGGGAGAGTGGGATTTTATTCTTATTCTTTATCCTGTCAAGTTCTACAATGCTCCTTCAAGAAAGGATAGATTAATTACAAAGGGTCTTTCTCAAGCAACTTTACTTATATTTTACTTTAATGCTTTTATTTATAAATGTATTTCCTTTAATTTCTATTAGATTAATATAGAAATTATTATTATTATTATTTAGATCCAGATTGGATGCAATATGGGAAAACTGAATGAGTTACTAGTTTATTGGATGCAATGGACCCTAATAGCTTATTAGGGGAATAGATGCTCAACCACAACAGCCCAATTTTTTTGGGCAGAAATTGTCACAGATGAGGCCTAACGCTAGCCTTTTTCTGATGATTAATTGGTTTCAAGGATACTCGTATCATATTATATACCTTTTTTATGGCATTAATATAGGGCCCATGTTTTGGGCTCCTCACACAGGACGCTTCACACCGATCTTACACGCACATATCCTACCATGCATGCATTGAGAACATCTTCTATCTTCTATACTTATAAATTATTATTGATGGGAGATGTTCTCGATGCATGGTGGATGTGCGTGTGAGGAGTAGATCCCGTTCCCCATGTGTTAGCCATTTCTGGTGTGAGAGTTGTCACACTTTTTGATATCACGTGCCTACGTGCCTTATAGTCATGCGGAGTCAACCGGGTTTGACTGGTGGATCAACCGAGCCAACCCATCAACAAATTGATCATATCTATCTATCATTCTATCTAATCTGCCTACTCTAAAACGCGTCAAAGAATATATTTGAATCTAAGCCCCATATAGCAGGCGGATAAATACCCTGAGTCACCTGCCGATTCAGTCCAGTTTTGAGCTTTTAATGAGCTAGAGTTATCTCAAGAAGAAGAAGATAGCTTAGACAAAAGCACGGTTTCTAATTAAATTATATACTGCACTAACCTCAGCTTTCAGTCTTGCATTCTCGATCCGTAGTCGTTGTTCTTGATCAGTTGTCATTGTTGCTTCTTTGGTCGCAAAACCACAATTCGGGCAACATGCCTTCTTAGTGCTCTCCCTCATGGTTCGATTCTCCTCCCGGAGTTTATCTATTTCAGATTTCAACAGAGAGTTCTCATGGCGTTCCTGTATTGCCTGCAATAGCCTTACCAGTCACCTTTACAGGATAACAAAGAAAAACAGAAGAAGAAGAAGAAGACCCATGAAGCAAGGATATCTGCCAAATGTATGACTTGATCATAACTGTTATCATGTTCTAGGTTCAGACCAATCACTGTTGCAAGAATTTCTAAGATATTGATTTTATGAATGATCCTGATTCCTGACAGCCCGTGTGATCGAGGACTGTTAAGTGATTATTCCATCTAATCCCAATTTGAACAGTTTTGGATACATATATAGAGATCATTTTGTACCTTAAGCTGGGTTCGACGATTTTGAAACCAGAACTTGATTTGCCTGGGATCAAGACCTAATTGCTTGCTCAGTTGTTGCCTCTGGTTCTCATCTGGATGAGGTGACTCTTTGAACAACCTGCAATTATATATCCATGTCAACGTGATGAACAAACAGAAAATCTATACAATTCCTGTAGTAGTAACTTATGAATTTAAAGAAAATATTCAAGAAGCAAAACTGAATAATTTTATGTTGAATTACAGAAAATATAACAGAATGGATGAAATGAATCTTTACAATTAATCATAGAGAGAGATATATGATTTTTGTATCCATTTGCAAGCAGAATACATGTTAGGAAATGATAAAATATTGGTTGAATTAACATACATACAAATTAAGTAGGAAAAAAAAGATGAAAAAGAAAAACTAAAATCACAAGGAAAACTTCTTATATTGAAAACAAAGTAATTAAAATTGATATAGGTATGAGGAATATATGTTCCATATGAACTGTTAAAATTGAGCCAAGAGCTTGGCTGAGTAATTAACTCGGTGCACCTGAGTCATATAGGTCGGTGAGGTTTCAACTTTCAATGCTCAAATTGATATTATTTACTTTAGCTATTTTTCAACAAAAAAAAAAAAAAAAACACAAAATTAGAGAAAACCCAAGTTGTCGAAATGCTCAAACGCATGCCCTTATCGTTGTTTCTCTGTTCAAAACAACGGAGGCACCATTACCGAATCGTTGGCAATGGTGATTCACTTAAATTCGAGGCAATTCCCGAGTCAACCCAGAAAAGTTTCAAGTATATAGATGGGAAACTTGACGAGAAAACGGGAAAGAGAGGGAAGGTGTGAGAAGAACGCACGCTTCCATTTCTCTGATTTGCCCAGCTGTGTGTCTGTGATATTTCTTTCTCTTCTTCTTCTTGTTCCCGTCATCACCATCGTCATCTTGCTCTCCCTCGGCATCGCCATCTTCGTCGGATTTTCCAGGACCACCGGTGTTCTCGCTGCTATTCTCAACCGCGTCTTCTCGGCCTCCACCTCCGCCACTTTCTTCATCTCCTTCCTCCACCTCCATGCTTGCCGCCGCCGGTGTGCCAACATCACGAAAAACACCGGCCTTCGAGCAGAACCCAAAAGAAAACGAAGGAAAAAAATCAAAAAGAAGAAGTGAAAAAGACCAACTAAATTAAAAACTAAAAGGGTTCCATGCATAATCGTTACAAGAGTGAGAGAGAGAGCTGGAGAGGCGAAAAAGTCTTTGGTGCGGGAGTTGGGATAATTCGACATCTACGCCTATTACAGTTACTCTCGGATGACGAAAGGGTTGTTTTTAAGGGGCATATAGACTGGCTATGGAGAGAGAGAGAGAGAAGTGGGGTCTAACAGATTTAAGGATATAAAACAAAGAAATTCAGAGTTAATTGTTCTTGAGATTTCGGGGTGAGAGAGACTTGAACGTAAGTGGTGCATCTCGGCTGGTAGGTGTTGAACGTTAGATATTTGGGAGAGGAGGATCCATAACTAACTTGAAAAGGTTGAATGCAGAATGCCCAACTGTTTTGAGTTGCATATATCAGATATATATCCTCAGCTTTGCTTGCAAGGCTAGTAATGGTTTCAAATTTTTTTTTTTTTTTACTAAAATATCAAAATACAATCCTTTTACCAATATTTTATAAACAAATAACCCTTACAATCTAAAATCCTTGAGGAATCAAACTTGGTTTCATGGTTTTATAACTAATATTTTGCAATAACTACTAACTACTAATATTTTAAGAATTCTTTCGATAAATATATATTATGATAAATTAATAAAATATTATCCTTTATATGTAAACCATCCAACCCATATTTAATTACAACCATATATATACTCAAATATTTACATATTTAAAGTAAAGCACTTAGCTAAGACATTAACGAATAATCTATAGAAAGTATATATTATCTTTATCTTAAGATGACATACTGCTCCAACAATTAATTCTTTCTATAAATGACCATTTTATTCTTTATTTCTTAAAAACTTGTATTACTAAACAATTAGAAAAGAGAAAACAGGTTCTTACTTCGTTCTATCTCCACCCAATCAACCACAACTACCCATACTCCTATCTATTTCCACCTTTCAAATAGATTTGTGATGGCATCAATATAGATTACTCTTGGCTTGACATTTTAACAATTTGTTGTTTATATACATTGTCATCATTAGATAATTGATCCAAAATCCAAGTTGAAAATGTTTGCCTCTTTAGTATTATAATTCACATTTGAACACATTAGGCTGCTCTTGGAAACAATGCAAATGGAGTGTAAATCCGGTTCAGGGTAAATTTGTATTCTTGTTCACTTTTGCCTATGTTTGGCAACATTACATTTATGCATTGACAAATGACAGATCAATGCATATTTACATTGATGATAAGATGTAAAAGTACATCAATAAAAAAGAAGTAAATCTGCATTCAAGGGGGCTTTTGATAAAAAAAAAAGACATATGCTCTATTGAAATTCATGTTTGCATCCACTACAACTAAAAATCTGTTTGGTAAGAAGGTAAGTTTGTCAATACAAAACTAACCCAACTTTACAATTTACATGAATCGTTTTACACTCTACATATTTGCATTCACACTTATTTGCATTGTTTCCAAACACAGCCTTATTAATGCTAACTTAGGTTAATATCCTTACTAAACTAACAAAATGCATTTCCCTATTGTGCAGTAAATCAACTTAAAGACAGAATTATATGTCATTGAAGTAGAGGTTTTGTTTAAAATGGTGGTTTAAATAAGGTACAAGAGAGAGCTAATAACTGTTGATAAGTGTGTAAAAATGGAATTAATGTACAGCATCCAGTTATTCTATATGCTTTTATGAATTTGCAGAGAATTCATCAATAGGAACCACCGCTGATGCCAGTGGACTCCCTCCTTTGTTGCCTATTGGTCAAATTACATAGATTATTCATTATTTATATATTCAATATATATCACAAGCTACAGAGTATAAATCTAATTAAAACCACTATGTCAATCAGAATTCCATTTCTTCCTCTCTTTCTTTTTAATTTACATTAATTTACCACAAGTAATCCATCTCCTAGGATGAAATCTGGAACTGATTTTGATCCATTAATATTCTATATTACATATTGTAATAAGTGGTTTTCTTTTTATTATTCCACACATATTTCTTTGCTACATCCATGACCATTAATGGCAGCTTAATTAACAAAGTTCATACAATAACCCAGAAATCACTTGAGATTTTTACTCATTAGGTGGTTAGCACACACCAGTATGTAGTTATAGCTACCGGTCTCTCTAGCGTTTAAATCACAGCCCTCAATATATCCAATGACCGTGCATGGGTACTTTTGTGATGACTATTATATTACCATTGCCCTTTGACGGTGGGCCTTGGCACAATGGTTAGGGTTTGGGGTGTTGCATTGCGACTTGGGTGACAAAGGTTCAAATCTTCAAAACAGAAACTCGGAATGTATAGGGGTAAGGCTGCGTACATCTGTCCCTCCCCAGACCCCGCATTATATTCATCCAATGGGAGCCTCATGCACTGGACTGTCCTTGTTCACTGTTACTTTTGATGGGTCATGGAATTGAATAAGAGTAACATAATGTCAGATTTGCTTACCCTAGCCGAGCCAAGATCACAAGAAGGTTGCTTCTGTCTCGTTTCACATCATTTTTTTAAGAGGGGGGTGTCCTTTTGTGTGTCTTCACATCATTTAAAAGACTGAAAGTAGTGAGTTAATGAATTTACCTCCAAGTATCAATTTTTTCCCCCAATGAAGTGAAGCATTTCTTCAGTCCTGTACTGGAGGTTGAGTTGGTGCAATGAATTAAGCCTATGGGCTGCTTTTCAAAATAATAATAATAATAATAAAGTAACATAAATTGTTGACTGTTTTGAAAAAGAGAATGAAATCTTTTATATACAAACAACACAATTCCACCGTTGAGGTTAATTATAGACCTTAATAGTTAATATCACAATGTCAAGACAGAAAATGCATTGCAAATGATGCGGTACTAATGCATGGTTATTAACTTTTTAATGGCTGAGCATAATGTGATACTTTTGATCATGATAATGCACAGTTATGCAAAATAAAGGTTGATACCAGACACATTTTTATTCCTGAATCAAATCTCTGGTATATGGTGGTGATTAACTTTTGACAGTTTTGGTATCAGTTCCCTTAAACTACAAGAATGCAGTTATTGTATGAAAAATAGAATTACAACTATTTGTCATAAAAAACAGAAAATAATAGAAATCAGGTCAGAAGAATGCAGTTGTTGTATACACATTAACAGAAAAGAAACAGTTGTATGATGTTCCATATATTACCAATTATAAAACCATCTCTCTCTCTCTCTCTCTCTAACATCCCCAAGTTTCCTTTATTTTTTTTTTTGGTTTTCAGTTATCATTTTAATTAGTGTACTTTTTCGCATTTGCATATGGGTTTTAGAGGATTGATTTAGCCAATAAAAAGGTTTATAACTTGGTAAGAATACTTATCCTTAATTTGAAAAAGATAATGGCCACAATACACTATTTCAGATGCTTTAAGACTTTTGTTTGGATAGAAGTACACCTCTACCAACACTGTTCTCATGATCTAAAACATTTCCTTTGGATTTCAAAACAAAACGAGGCACCAAAATATTATTGTTCTATCATTTTGAGTTTTTGACACTAATCTAATTGATATATAATATGGACTAAAGCTCCTCCTCTTCCTCTTAAGCTTTCCATATAAGAGTGAACAATCAGTACAAGATATCTAGAATTGATTTGTTCATTTGGTTCCTTTTTATGACATATGCTTTTAACAGAAGTAATTACAAAAGGGGTTCCTCCAGAAGACCAAAATGTGGAACATTAAATGACATCTCAATCCTGAAGAAGCCCTAACAATGCTCTCCTCTCTCTCATCAACATCAGCAATCTCTTTTATTTATTTGGACCAATTAACATATCCAAGCTAAGTAGTGGTAGTAGTTTTGACCATTACTTCCTCAATGACCCCTTTTTGCCAAGTCAGAACTTTGATTTCTAAATGGTGTCTTTTGAGTCCTCCTCTTTGCTTACCAAATATATTCATAAATGCAAGCTTAAGTGCCACACATACACACAAACCTAGCTACAAATCAGGGGTCCGGTTCCCAAGTCGAACGGTCTGACCATTTAAATTGAACGAAGGGCCCATTCTGACAAATCAATGGTTTTTGGCAAAATTACGGTTCTGGGGTAAAACGCTGACCAGTTCCCGGTTTTTCCAGTCTGACCGTCCGGTCCGGTCTGGTTTTGAAAACCATGCTTTGATGTGTATTTAAACAATTGAAATTTTTAGGCCTTTTTCCTAGTGTATTGGTAGTTGTTGAATAGCAGATAAGATGTGTGACATTCACATGCATTGAAGCAACTTATTAGTTTAGATTTTAGGGATAAGTGGACTGCAATCCACCTCAGAAATCTGAATTGCAACCCCTCCTAGTTTTTTAGTTACTTTTGAATCTCTCTTTTTCCACTTTAGCCTTCTTTATCTTGCTGCTTGTAGGCTTCCTTTTCATCAGCTAAGGAAAGCACTAAACTGAAAGCAAGGAATCTAGAGTAATATAAGAGAGGGATATCATCATTATTTGTCATTGTTTGTGCCTCGATTCCTTTTTCTTTTGTTTTCTTAGATCACAATCTCTTGGTCTCAAAACATAGAAGATGAGATAAGCCTGGGACAAACTTCCTGAGAAGGCATGAAATCTGCAGGAATGTAAGGAGATTATTAACGTGTTAAAATGAGGCCACTAGCCCACTAGGAAAAAAAATAATGGTGCTTTAAATAGTGCTTACAAAAGGAAATACAAAGTAAAAAAGTATGTATTTGATTGCATTATGGAAAACTGACCACAAGATCACATTAGAACAAAAAGTTGCATCAGAACAAAAAAAGGATTATCAAACAAGTAATAGTATAATATATAAATATTTTTTTCTTTGAGCAGGAAGGTGGTGGAAAGAGCTAAATTTTATTTTTGATGAGGGAAGGAGATGGGAGGAGTTCTCTCAAAGAAGTAAATTTAGTACTTTATCATTAATTTAATTTCAACTTAAGTGGATCATCAAAACTCTAAAAGTTGATATAAAAAAACTGAAAGAGTTCTTCTGCTACAGTAGAAAACATCTATAGGCTAGTTAGGTGGATCATCAACCAGACAACCACCCCACAAAAGACATAATTACCTGCAGTAGAATTTAAGTATAGACCAATAAAAATCTTGTGAAGTTGTTATTCAATGGTCAAATAATCTGGAAGGCAATTTGTGAACTACATGGCTAAGATCATCAAATTACTTGGAAATGGCACTACCAATGACTAATTAATGTTATCAAGGTAATGTAGGAAAAGCTCCTCATCATGAAAAGTCATATGGATGAGGAGCCTCAAATGTTTGCAGCACTAACACAAAGAACTAGATTAAATGAAATGGATGAAATTTTATAGGTTAGATATTTAGTGATTATAATAGGATCTGCAGGTGATCAATACATACAGAGATGATAAAACTAGAAAGGATAGGGCCAAAATGAAATCATATGAAGGAACTTAGGAGTAGTTCCAATAAAATAAGAGATGGTAGACTGAGGTGGTTTAGTCACATGCATAGAAGACCCATCTACAACACCCATTAGAAGAAGTATCTGTTACAAGTTGAAGGGGCTAGAAAAGCTAGGGGCAGGCTGAAAAGGACTTGGGTGGAAGTAGCAAAAAAATGATTTTAAGTTTCCATAGTTTGAATTGATGATGGATATGGCACTGAACAGGAATGGCTAAACAGGATTCATGTAGGTGACCCCATATAGTTGGGATGATGATATACAATGATGATTAAGCCTACAAGATGTCATAGAGTTAAATCTTTTTTTATCACCATTAGAGAGTGTTTTCCATTTTCAGGTCGACTATGCCGATAGGCCCCATGAATAAATTAAAAAGAAGATGTTGATTAAAATCTTACAGTAAAACCACTTAAAGCTACAGACATGTTATAACATCATACTGAAAAGTAGCTAGGAAGGTGTGAACATTTTTATCTACCAGTCTTGTTCTTTATATGCTTGTCAAAAGAAGTTTTCTTAGTCTAACATACTTGATTAATTTATATTAAGAGGATATTTCATTTAAATATCCAAACAAAAGATGGATGACCCTCTACCAGTACAATTATCCAAGTTGCCTAAGCTAAACAAAATGCTATTTAATTAGTAATGTCAATCAGCTTGATGGATTCACCCTCTGAACCTGGGAAGGAAACAGCCATGCCAAACAACATCACTTGGTATACTACATGTGGAAAGTTCGTAGAAGATACTGATACCGAAACTCTGCACTTAGGCATGAGCCACACGCCGCCCCACCAAATCGATTCAAACATGGATGGCAAGACTATCTGTTTAAACTTGATCAAAGTTGAAGCTTGTAAGGGTTGTTTTATCACTATCCTTTCTGTCCAGCTTTGGGAGGTAGGTAGTGGTTGAATAGTAGACGAGATGATAGTAAAGGAAACATTCTGATGGCTACCACCATACAATGAGTAGTCATATACGGAGTAAATGCTGATCAAATTCTATGGCCAAGGATTTTAAAGAGCCATGGTTTTTAGTGTATATGCACTTTATGTCACTCATTCATGAATGCCCCATTGATTTCTGCTGAGAGGTCATGACATTTGAAAAGGGGATTGTCCACTTCCTTTTGCCCCTTCTTATTATTGAAATAATCAAGAACTAAGATTAATTTCTTACATATTATAATCACCTTTCCTACTTAGCATCAATTTGGATTGTTTCTAGTCTCAATGTTGTAATCCTAATATATGTTCGATTGAATTTGGAAAAAACCATTATAATATTTTTGTTGAAGCAAGATTATTAGAGTTTTGGTCAAGGACTCAGCCAGAACTTCATTCCCACTGAAAAACTCTGCAGTTTTCCAAAATCAGTGGGATGGAATTACAGATCATCATGCCCTCATTCTTGACCAGCTAAGTGTTAGACTGCAATCCAGAAGACTACTCAGAGAAATCCTAATTTTATAAGTTTGTAATCAAACACATAAATGGATAGAACTTAGGTTTGTTTAAATTGTGGGAACAGCTCTGCTTGCAAATACAACCGGCCATGTTTGAATTGATAGCCGCATGCCAACAAAAAGGCAGCATAATCTATAATGTGGAAAAGATTTGGTATGGGAAGAGTTTTGACCAATCAAAACCCACCCATGAATTTTGATAAATAACACCTAATTGACTACCACATTTATGATTCTATTTGATTGGTCTGAAAATTTTCAGATATCATATCTTTTCCATATCATAGTCGAACCCAATAACTATATAATCCATACTTCCTTTTTTTCCCATCTACCATTCCACGTTTAACTGTAACCATCTTGCTTTAGACCCAAACTTATCATTTAGTTCATGCATTTCCATTCCTGAAGTAACATCATCCATTGCTTCTTAATGGAATTCTGCTGTTATTAAGGGGGTGATCCACAACATGCATGGTTGGTTTTATTTTTAAAAACAAAAGCAACCGCGCCGTCAGCAAAATTATGTTGTCTTTGCGGACATACATGGCAGTTGTTCTTGTTTTCAAAAACAAAACCAACCATGTTGTCAAACACCCCTAAAATGTGCAGCACAAGAAAATACATGTCTTCTGAAATTAGGAGTAGGAAATTTCCCTAAGTTGATGATCCACACAAACTCCCTTTCCAATCAGATAATTTCCGTAAACAAATGGTTCTCAGAGACATTACTAATTAAATGTTTGTCCTGCTGATGTTCTCAGGGCAGGGAACAATAGAACTCATATTTTGGATTCTGTAGTAGATAAAACTTCAGTTCAGCAATGTTTGGTCTGTTGATGATTTCCCCAATTGTTTGGCTTGAATCATGCAACAGGTCATGTCTCTTGCTCATCTGTCCACCATATAAGCTTCCATTTGGCCTCTTATTTCTTGAATGGACTACTCTGGAAAGGAAAATCAAGGAACAAAAAGAAAATGTGTATATCTCCATTTGAGATTAATCCTATCCCACATATATATTGATGTAGACTTCGTACTAATATGGATCACAAGAAAGACGTGTGCCTGAACTGCTTCCTTCTCACATGGTTATTGCAACAATCAACATTTATGAACCTGATTCATTGACATATTCATTCAGATCATACCTGAATCTGTCTTCTGAGAGAAACTCCGCTTCGCTGCGGTGCCTATACTAGATTTTGCTTTGGTTTTTCCTTATTCTTTTTATCTCAATTTCAGCCATGTAGCAGTGGCAGTCACCCATAATTAACTCACAGTACAATAACATGCTTGTCCAAGAACTAGTAATTTTTCTATCTAAAAGATTTCTACTTCTCTCGGATATTTGTCAAATCTCTTTTAGAGAAATGAATTACTTAGAATCCAGGTGATAAGTTGTTGGACACAGAAAATACATCAGAGGTCATAAGTTAGCTTCGGTAATTCCATGCCAATGACAAAAGAGTACTGAAGATAAGAGCACTGCTTGGCAATTGTGTTAAGAACATATATACTTGAACATGTTTAACTCAATCAATTTAGGAATTATACTCATTAGAAGAAAAGGATGTGAATTATCATTCAGAGAGATTTCTTGAAATACAATGAAAACAAAGCATATAGTATCATTATCACTATCATCATCATCATCAACCAAGCCTTATCCCAACTATATGGGGTCAGCTACATGAATCCTGTTTCATCATTCCATTCTGTTTAATGTCATATCCATTGTTAAATATTGACACTTAGATCATTTCTTACTACTTTCAAAACATATAGTTTAATGTACTTTACACAGTTCATTTGCTCCGCCTAATAAGTGACAAGATGTCATTGCTTTGCACTGGTTTCCTGGTTTGTTTGTCGCGTCTAAGCTTATGGTCGTCCTGCAACAAATTCAACCATCTTAATCACTGCAATTTTCAGTTTTATAAACAAACCATTAAGTTGTGATGAAACAAATCCATTTCACAGCCATTTTCTTAATCAAGCCTATTTACACAAATCAAACAGTGCATTTAGACCTAGATTGCCTTTGAGTTCAGTCATCTGGTGGGGCTAATAATGCACTGTCCCAACTCAGATCCAACTACTTGTGCTTCTGGTTTTCATAAGTGTAGACCCAATAAATACAGTCTATACGTAAGCATTACAATAACCTCCATCATATATGACTTATTAGTGATGTATACTGTGAATTGATATAATGTTTACATAATTCAAGTAAACACTATGCTTATGAACTACTTAAAGCGTGTAACAAGACTTGAGAAGGATATACAAATTACCTGGAAATGAAAAGAGGGATTTGGAAGCTTCACTACCCTGGTCTGACCATCGCCAACAGGCAATAATGAGGAGAATTCATATCCTGAAACAAATACAGATACAGACTGGGACTAGACTCATGGCTCTGGTGAAATAACTAGGAAATTAAAGCTACACAAGAGTGCAACAATTTGTAGTCTTAAAATGAAAATGAGAATTTCTTTGACATGAAATAAGATGCATACCAAGCTTCTCATTGATGTTGCTAAATGTTGAATCCTTATCTACAGCCAACTTGTGAGCATAAGTGTATAAGAGAAGTGGCATTTCCTCCTCTGTGCCACACTTGTACCTAAACATAGTTTCAGAACTATTTGTCTATTTGAGTAACAATAAGCTCTGTATCAAGTAGAGAGGTTTGGTAGGCATTTTTAAGAGAAGAAGAAGAAGAAGAAGAAGAAGAAGAAGAAGAAGAAGAAGAAGAAGAAGAAGAAATTGGAAACCAGGAAGAAAAGCAACAATTGATTTGTTATATAATTTTCTTGATAAATTTTCTAAAAACAGTTTGGGAGCTTTGTTTGCAAATATGCAGGCATAGCACTGTCCCAGGTTAACTAAACCCAGGAAGAGAGCTATCAATTATATGTTCTGTTGACATAACTGTAGCAAATAACAATACATTGAGTCTCCAAAAGGCATTTGCAACCAAACTCAATCTTAATAGAATATTCACCACAAATTTGCTTGGTTTCTATCAGAAACGTGCATTGAGGGGCGGTTTAATAATGGCTGAAGTGGCTAAACTGTATGACTTATTGCTTGTTTTTAAGTGGATAAAATAATTAAATAATAAATTATTCAATAGTATCATAATCAACCTATAACTTAATTCAGCTTTAGCCTTTTAAGAACTCACAACCTCCTCAGTAACTTATTCACTAAAAGACAAAGCGATGAGTCATTCAGTTCAGCCATTTTAGCTGTTATCAAACAGCCCCCCACAAGATTGCAAGCTTGATACAAAGGTAATATATAGCTAGACTGCTAGAGAGAGAGAGAGAGAGAAAGAGAGAGTACCTCATCAGCTCACTGTTTGTTTTATCAAGAGCCGGAGCAGCTATTCAAGGAGAAAATCAAACGAAATAACAAAGTAAGACAGGTTTATACGTAGCTCCTCTACAATGGCAAGAATAATACATTAGAACTCCAAACAAGGCAAGAAGAAATAGTTACGTGGTGCAACGTAACGTGGGTGATGCATTGGAAAATTTGCACTCCAGTGTACTTTAGCAAGAGCTAGCCTGTGAGCATATTGTTCGCAAGCTAAGAGCCTCTAACAAATCGTCCATCCACAGAAATTGTCCAAGTTCAGTGATAGATTAAAAGAGAAGTAAGCTATCATATTGCATTGTAGTAAGTAGTTAATGGAAGGAATCTCAGTGATCTCAATCAAAAGACTGACGACCTGTTTCAAGCAGTCGATCCGAAGCTCCGCCTCTGAAATCTCATTGTTCTGGGAAATACGAGACTCAAGATTTGCAGAGACACTTCCAAGATGATCAACGACGGTAACCACAGCTCTGCATATGTACTCCTTTGTGTTCTCCATCACCCTGCACAGCAATAAACCAAATATTTAGCTCTGGTTCAACCAGTACAACCATTAAGGTAATGAATTTCACAGATTAGGCTGCAATTGTTTCCATGCAGAATCAGGGGTGTCAATTGGACCGGATTTGGTCCAATCAGATCCGGCCCAATATAAATCCATTGCAGATGGACTGGGTCCAATCCAATCCAATGGACCATTTTAGACCAGTTCAATTTAATTTGAATTGCCCAATTTAATTTAGGTTGGTTCTAATCCAAACCTGGTCCATTGACACCTGTTCTATAGGTGGACCAGATATTACTTCAATTCAACCATACATTCCGGATGGACCAAGTCTAATCCAATCTAATAAATACTTTGGGCCATTAACTTTGGATTGGTTCAATTTAATGTATCTTATTGGTCCATCCAAATTGATTTTAATTTGGACCGGGGCCAACCCAAAACAGGTTCATTGACACCTATATCCAAAATTGCGATTGATAAAAAAAAAAAAAAAAAAAAAAAGATAGAAATGAGGTTTTTTCAATTTTCAAAAGGTTAGGGTTGACTAGTTCGGGTTGGGTCAAAGTTAGGGGTGGGAGTTTGGAACTTCAGATTGGACTAGTGTCCGGTCCGACCTGCATCCCCCCCCACCCCCCTTCTCTCTGCACGTGCCATTCAACTACCCAATAGTGTCTAATAAAAACCTTTATTCTAGTTATCTTCTAAAGTAAAAAAATGAAGTTCCTTCTCTCTGCACGTACCACTCACTGTATAGAAAGGTTGTCTTTATGGGGCCCATTTTATAAGCGATTATGTGAAAGTACTCCAAACAGGCATTAAAGCCTGTCCCAGGCTTTAGGTTTGTAGGAAATTAAGAATTGTATCAAATAGGGGAGAAAACATTTCCTGTAGTGGTATTGGGCCTGTCAATGATACCTAAAAATTTGAAGCCCAATTCTAACATCTATTCTTATTATCTTGGATTTAGATGATGTGTTTATGTAATCGGATTGAATTTAGATTTTATAATCTATATCCGATTAATAATTGGATTAGATTCGGATCTGACTCCATCCGATCCAATTAAAATCCAAATATTTATTAATTTTTATATAATTATATTTAAATTATAAAAAATATATTTTATATTTATATGAATCTGTATATAATAAATTTAGTGTATATATTTATATTAATTTATTATATATAAAAGTTGAAAAATAATTAAATTTTTTATATTTTATTTAAAAAATTAAAAAATTATAACTGAATCTGTTCCAAATCTGGTAAAATTCGAATTCGAATTCAAATATGAATTCTTTAAATCCAATCGGATTTGGATGAAAACTTTCCATAATCCGATTGAAATCGGATTTTGCTGCATGCAATCCGATTACAGCCCTAAATGGTATAGCATGCAAGCATCATTCAAGACATCAGTTGATGTGATGTCTTGAATTTAATGCAAATGCAATAGCATGCGAGCCCAATAAAATGCAAACAAACCAACAATTGAAATGAAAATTTCAGTTGATGTGATATGTTGAATTTATTGCAGAGGTTGGTGTATACTCATTTAAGGGTCTCCAGATTGTCTGATCCCATGAAATGTGAGCTCTAAATAGGGGGAGGCTTAGGTAGGTTTATTGGAATTGTATTAAGTAAATATTTGATTGCTCATTAATGCTCTTTCAGAGGACTCTAACAATTTTGAAAATTATGAGACCAAAGATGTTCATGTTCTAATTAGATTTAGAAGCTTGGATCTCTTTTTCATCTTAACCAAAAGACATGAAAGAAATTATACATTGAAAAGGGTCGCCTAAACATAAGAAATACAAGGTGGTAGGACTTTAGTCCTGACATAGTTTCAGAGAAAAGGTGAATTCTGCTTCTGCATAGTAGTGAGTATTAGGGTATAATGGAGTAGTACTGTGGATTTTTTTAAGGGGCATCTTGGTTAGCTTTCAAATTTGTAACTGGATTGTTAAGAATCCTCTCAAATAGGACTAATGTGCTATAACTTTTTAGGGGAGGAAAGTCTGCTCAGCCCAAATTGTTTATCTTCTCTTCTTCATTTGATACGATTCCTCTCAATCAAGGGGTCATGGAAATTTTCCCTAATTAATATTATATCTGAATAATTTAATAAAAGGGTGATTAAAGGTTTTCCTACCTTTTCTTACCTTTTTCTTCAAACCAAACATAATCTAAATGTTAACTCAAAGCAAATAATAGATCATCATCTCCCATTAAGTTTTGGCATTTCCCCTATGCTTCATGTTTTCTATTAGTAGACAATTCTGATTTAAAAGATAATTTCTAATAAAAAATACAAAATTGTTAAAAGAGAACCATGGTAGAAAAGATGAATAAACCAGAATAGGTTATGACTTATAAGGCCCTTCACATTCACTAGTTTAGATTTAGATATTAAAACACACACATCCAATAGGCAATTGACTATGTGGGTATATGCTCAGCTGGGCTCCTCTGTGCTCTATGTATTTCCCTCTCTTAAATCTTAATAGACCCCAGTGCTTTTATTGCACTAAAAACAAAAGAAAATAAATTATTTCCTAAGAAAATTATGTTAAAAATGAGAAAGGATCATTTTTCCTAAATTTCCTCGTGTTTAGTCGGAATGAAAACCATAAATGAAAAAAAAACGGCTGTCTATATTCGACAGCCTGAGCTGTCAACAGAGTTCTCCATGTCTTGGTGAACAAATGTGTCACACACAGAGACAAGAACCAAAATATTGATACAAGCCAATACCCAAAACCAATCGTCTCCCTGATCTTATATACAAATTTTCTTATATCTATACAAGGCCATGTCACCCCCTATGTTTTTGAATTGCCGTTGATCTGGACGGTCAGGCCATTCAGCCCAGGAATCATTCAAGTAACTGGTTGCATTTTACCCTAAACCCAGTTTTTAGCCAAAAACTATTGAATTGGTCAATAACTTATTGATTCAGGCGGTTGAACCGCCAACCTATTTTTTGTTTTAATTGATTTATTTTATTTTTTATCAAAATAGACTCTCCATTTGAACTAAACCATCAAACCAATGGCCAGAATGGTTCCAATTCCATGACGGTTTTTAAAACATTGGTCACCCCTAAACTATCAAATTCCAGCACTTTGCCTCCTCTCTCTTTAACTGCACTGACAAAAAAAAAAAAAAAAGAGAAAGGACAAATTGGTCCCATAAATAAAGGAAATGGTAGTTTGGAAATTTAGAAATGTTTAACAAGCATCACACAACAGTCAATAATCTTTTTTTAAGTTAATTGTCAGACTAGAGGCAAAAGTGTTGGAATCCAAAAGTTCAAGAGATTTTTATTGTAAATAACCAATCAAGTGATGACTAGTTGGTATGTTAATTGTCCCGCTTCAGCATTAACGTAGAATTGATTCTAGCAAACATAAATTTAGGGAAAAAGGAGGTTATGACTTTTTTTTTTTTGAGGGGACCAAGGGCTTGTTCGTTTCCTCATAATTCTTATCTCTTAAGAAGAATCTTTTAACTTTAAGAGAAAAATGGTTGTTCGTTTCCTCTTAAAGTGCAATCATACAACTTTTTGTTTTCCAATAATACTCTCAAAAAGACAAACAAAAACACTCATATAAAATAGATATTTGATAATTTTCAAAATTCAAAATTCAGAACATTCAGAATTCAGAGAAAAGAAAAGTTTATCAATACCAATATATCTCTTAACGTAATTATTGCACTTTCAAATATCAAACTTAAGAGCAAACGAACAGGCCCGAAGTGTCACTGCTCCAAAGTACAAGATGATAACCTTTGGGGTTTTGGACATGGCTAAGGCAATGCTAACAAGTGGAAGCCCAGCCCAGCCTTGTGAAAGATCATGGGCTTGAGCCCTGGCCAGTGAGGCCCAATTGAATGGCAAGTTAGCCTACGCCTTAGGTAGTTAGGTGCACGGGTGCTTAGGCAGTTAGGTTCAACTCAAGGTTGAGTCCAGATTGGCAGTTGTACAAGAGAGACACAGCCCGACACACAGCGTTCCATTGGCCAGTTGGCCCTTGCTCACTGGTTGGTTTCACTATAAACCCCGGTCCTTAGACCGTCGGGCGAACCATGAACCGGGCGTCCACGGTTCACCGGCTGAAATCAGACAGGAAGGAGTAAGGAGGGCTTACATTTTCTTCTGTCTGGCCTTCAAGAATGCCTTCTCACAGTAATCGGCAGCGTAGCGAAGCTGAGAGCGCAAGTCCTTCAGCTCCTGTAATGGCAATAGAAGGAAAATATCAGAAAGAGCCAGAAGAATGGTAGAAGCAGGAGCTCTAAAGAAAATGGACATGGAGAGAGAAAGAGATGGGGTTGCAGGCATGATGCACCTGCAGAGACTTGTCAAAGCGAGCCAAACCATTGGAATCGCCATCAACGTTTTCGAGTAGAGACACCGCTCCTGGGTCCTGCATTTCTTCTTCTCTTTCTACTTGTCTCTAGAGAAGACAACAAAATCTCTCTCTCTCTCACACAGAGAAAAGAAGAACGCGATACAGTACTAAAGTCTGGTGATGGTGATGATCTATCTCTCTGTGTTTGTTTCGCTCTTCATAATTTTTCATTGTTGAAAATTGGGAAGAGATTCTCTATCAACCCAATGTGTTGCGTGTACGAACGAACCGGAAAGAAAAGAGACGACAAATGTATCCCAGTCCCGTGATATAATGTCTCTTTTTATTGCATCTCTCTGTCTACTTGGTTGAGCTTTTCTTTTTCTTTTCCTTTTTTCTTTTGAACAGATTCGTTGGTAGAAAGTTGCGTTAAACAAGCAAATGTCATCTCTTAACAAATACAGAAATACTCCCCAACTTTTCACCCATCCAAAATTTTCTTGCACGCAGAAAACTGAACTAAAAGCGGACGTTACAACTTAAAACTGGGAAGCTATATACTTCTTTCCAAAGTTTTATCCCAATTCCCATTTTGATGTATTAGTGGTAAGTTGTAAGTCACCTCACTTATAAAGAAAAGAAAAGGAATCAAGAATAGTAACAAGGAAAAAGAAAGAATCAAAGTCATTTAACGAGGAAGGAGGAAAAATATTACAAACAAGGGAAAAAGAGAAAGTTTAAGCTGGTCCCTCACCACCACTAAAGAGTTGACCCCACCCGGGCCTCAGCCAGGTTGTTTACAATTGGATCGATCCCAAATTTGAAATGGCACGATGATCTAAGATCTAGTGTGTGTTTTGTTGCATAGACATTTCTAGACAGACGTTTATCAAAATATCTGTCATATCATCACTAAATTATCATTTTTTTCATCATATTTATCCGTATGTAATGATATTTACAAAAGTAGATTTTTATTTATATGCACATCAACCATTGGGGGAAGCATTAAGCGTTTATTCACTATTCCGCTGATGTGGTGCCTGATGACGCCTAATTATTCATAAATAATTTATCAAGTATTTTTCAGTTTTAAAAACAAATCAAGTATAAACATTTATTTAGGCCCCATTTGGCACGTCTTTCCGTGCGGTCTTTTGGCTGCTTACAAGCTGAGAAGACCGAAAATCAGTCTATTCCCGTTTAGCACATGGAAGATCTCGCCGTCAAAAGGTGGGGCGTCGAAAAAACACAAAAAGCCCATTTTGGACTGATTTCGGAAAGCTCCAAATGAAGCTTCCCGCATCTTCCGTGTTTTAATCTCATGCGGAAAGACTCAAAACGATGCATGAAAAAATGCATGTCTGCCAGATGATCTTCGGGCTGCCCAGATCTTATGTCAAAAGCTCAATGCATCTATTAACTGTCGAGCTACGAGAAGATCTTCTCAAAAAGATTTGCCAAACAGACCCTTAATAACATGAAACTTATACCAAACAAATACCTAATCTGTCAATGTCATGGAAGAAATGAAAAATCCTTTACCTCAAATTCTTAATTGGACATTTGGACGAGTTCCAACGCTACCGCTCAGTCCTCCCAAACCAAAAAAAGAAATGAAATGCTCTCGAGATCAAAGCCTAGAAAAACTTATGCTTCATTGTCGATCAAGCATTTGCATATTCCTAAATTTTGATGCTTCTCCATTCCCGGGGTTTGTGCTGTAGGCTGTAGCAATTTCAAAGTAGTGAGACAGCCCACCCTTTAATATGATGGAATGACTCTCTCTCTCTCTCTCTCTGACAGGCCACTGCGTTACATGAACGAGGGACCAAATGCCCGATGATACTACTGCAGTCCTTTAAATCGCAACTCCATGTACTCAAATATTCCCTTAACCCTACTAAAAGTTAAGCCATTTTGGCCTTAAAAGCACTTAAATAGCTTATTGACAAATTATGGTACATACTTCCTACCTCCGGCTTATGCTTTACATTAGTCAGAAAGCCGACAAGAGAGATTTGAAGTTCCAATTGTGTAAGGCACTAGGCATAGGAGCTGATCGACTGCAATCTACTCAAGTCGTTTTCCACTCTTTCAATGCCATTAACGCTTGTCAAAGAGAAATTTCATCACTGCCACAAGAAGTATATTGGAGAAAAACAGACAAGAAAAGCAAGATAAAATGACTGGAGGATTCACAATTAACAGTTCTGAGGTTTAAAGTACAGAGATTTAGTAGCAGTCTAGCAGATGTGTACAAGACTACGACTACAGGTAGGTTTTCACATCAAGGCTTTCCAGAAACGCACATGAGCATCATCTTCCGTGGTAAACTTCAAACGAGCAAGGGATGGAATTCGTCTTGAGGCGGAAAGACTGATGCCACAACGTGCTCATTCAGCAGAGGTCAATTACGGGATTGTCAAAAGTATTCCTTGGTGTAACTGTAACTGTCTGTATATATCAGCTGATGCTATCACTGTTTCAATCCTTCCTCTGAAAAAACTTGGGCTTTAATATTCCATTGTTTTTGGCTTCATGGAGCTACACAACAGGGGGTAGCCCATCCCCCAACCCCTTAACCCCATCAACCCTGGCGGCAGCGGGATCTGATCACAGGTCTCTGCTACAATGAATCAGAGATCCCACCATCAGCTGGTCTCTGCCGGCTAGAGTTGGTCCGCATTGGATACTGTACCTCCTGATACTCATCAGAATTATCTTCTTCATCAGATGATAACAAGGAAGAACCCATCCATGCCTTGAAGCCTTCATTCACTCGCCTCTCCACCTCTGGTGTTACATCTAAGGAAGCTGCCTCCAACATCTCCAGTCCATGGCTTCGACCAGCAAATTCCCCTTCATCAAGAACTACTGCTGCTTTCCTTCTCAGGAAGAATGCAGTGCCCCCGTACAGAACAACTAGCCCCCATGATGCAATCTCATAGCACCAAAACAAGGGCAAGGAACAACTGCTCCCCAAGGTGAGAAGTGTTGAACCAAGAAACAATGCAAGAAGACCAAAGATGACTGCAAACACACTGTTGAGAATGGATAGACAACGAACACCACCTACAGAGTGTAACAAGGAAGTTAGAATGAAGACATATTTAGGAAAAACAATCCTTTGCTCTAGCACCATGAAACATGAAAACATACACAGGGCCTAGCTTCTGACAAGTAAGCTGCAGATACCCTGCCATCAGCCCATGATTCTGCAATATAGCTCAAGTCTATCTGCCAAGGATGTAGTGAGTGCTTATATTAAACCAACCGACATTTTATTTGATGGCAATTGAAAAATTAGGAGTTCTGGGCATGATTGAACTAAGCACATTGAGGTAGACAGACACTTTATATGAGAGAGAGTGGCTTCAACATTATGTAAGCAAGCTGGGCATGATTGACATCTATGCTCAGCTTGAAGGGGAGTGTAGTGAGAATGGGCCCGAATGGGCCCTAGTGTTCTTCATTTTTTTTAAGTAGTGTTTAAAAGTTATGTTTCTTAGTTATGGGCCTTATGAGCCTTCTTTTATTTTCTTTAATTATTTTTTTAGTGCTGACCGCCCCATTAAGGGCATCCAAGTAATTGTACTTGGACTTAGAATTATTAATAATAAGTGATGAAAGGGAGCTAGAGAGAGAGGTTAAGTAGTGTTTAAAAGTTATGTTTCTTAGTTATGGGCCTTATGAGCCTTCTTTTATTTTCTTTAATTATTTCTTTAGTGCTGGCCGCCCCATTAAGGGCATCCAAGTAATTGCACTCAGACTTAGAATTATTAATAATAAGTGATGAAAGGGAGCTAGAGAGAGAGGTTCGAGTTCTTCTTTTTCTTCTTCCACAACCTATTGCTGAAACTTCTTGTATTTTTCTTTCTCTTTCTCTCTTTTCTTCTTTTCTTGCATTATCTGAATTATTGTATGTGTAATTTTCAACTTAACCAAAAGAAGATTAATTTATTAATTCTGGCAAAGAATGTGGAAGTTATACATACAATTAATTTATTAATTCTGTCAAAATACTTTAATCCATATTTATCAAAAAAATCAATTTAATCCATATTCACACTGTACTATTAACACAATCAACTACAAATTGCGAGAAATATTGCAAAAATGGCTAAAATAATTTCTATCACACTCGAATCTATGATCCTTTAATAAAAATGCATTATAGACACAGATTTCAATATAATGCAGGTATGTATCATGAGACTCTGATTTCCGATTTGATATCTTATGGGTAGTGGATGCCTCCTATTGAAGGACCTCTTAAGGTGAGACATGCTTGGTATAATCTGTTCTCTATTTCCATCCTAGTTTCCGTGAACAAAAGGTCGTTCAGAAAGCAACATCAACTGCTTCGTAATTAGGCGGCTTATTAGAAACAGGCTGAAGACCCAAGACAGACTCATAAGGTGGTGCAGTTTGGAAACAAATCATGTCCAGAGAAGCTTCAAAGGAAAGAACCAAAGCCAAAATAAACAGGAAGAACAACTCTTCACAGCATACTTGAGAGAAAATCAACCAAAAACTCCCCTAGCTTTGCCCTAGCTACTCTTTATATAGATTTCATTGCACCCTTATTCCTCCTACAAGGAAGTTCCTTAATCTAATAAAACAGTCCTTATTATAATCCTACTAAATCTCTTCAAAAAAGAAAGTCCTAATTGAATATAAATTCGGAAGTCCCACTTTAATGCTAAATTGGAAAATGCAAACCAAGATAGACAAATACAAGAATCCTGCATTGATGTTATCTTGGTAAATATGAACTAAATTGGGTCATCAGAAGCCAATCTAGTAAATGCTTACTCAGTTGGGCCTAATCCTGTACTACATCATAAGGGGACCAAGATAGATTCATAAGGGGATATTATCAAACCAAGTCTGTTCAGCAGATGTGTAATATCAGCTTATCACTTGTTCTTTGCTTGTCCATTTACATTAAAAATCTGGAAGCAAACTTTTCCCAAGCTGCCTAGGATTTCCTGAATTGTTAAGAGGATGAAATCAAGACCAACAGTTGTTTTTCTCACATTTGATGGGTGCAGTAATAGCTAAAAGGAATGATAGGCTGGCTGTCTTCATAAGCTAGATTACCAAGGATACAAAAGGTTTTCAAGTAGAATGGAAGGTGCAGATAATAACTGCACTAACAAAGTTTCTAATATAAGCCAATGAGAACAAAACAAACCCAAATCAACCATCAAACTAAAAAGACCCAACTAACAAAAGCCCCTTACCCATAACAATACAATACAGTAAAAAGACAAAATAACCAGAAATCAAAATAGCCTGAAGCCCAATAAAAACCCAACCATTACACCTACTGAGCCTAGTGGGGGTGGGATTGGGGAAGCAGGCCCTGTGGCTAATTTGTAGATATGTGCTCGCTCTTCATTTTGAATGTATGGAGAGACTATAGCTGTTGGTTAAATCCTTCTCATATTTCTTGATGTTGGGAATTTTACTGTTTTGACACTAATGCCACAGCTGATAAAAAAAAAGTGGATATAATGAGCTATTTTGTACTCAAATATTGGTACTTACTGCTTTTATTGATGCATGCAAACCAGTTTCTTTTATTCACCATGAATTGCAACAAATTCATCTTGGGGTGACCACTGTTTTAAAAGCGCAAGACGCAGAAAAACAAAACACAAGGATATTCCCAAGGCACAAGGCGCAAGGTGAGATGCACGCCTTTTCGAAGCAATGCACAAATAAACAAAATAAAAACAACAATGTAAAAATTATTAAAAATAGTATTAATTAAAAAATTCAAACTTTACCTTTTTTGATAATTAAAATCAAACTTAAATTTTAAACTAAATGTTTTTAAAAAAGTCTACTAGCTCAAATTTAAATACATAAACATAACATATAAAACATATTCAAAGTGAAAATTGCAAAAATAAAATAAAAAATAGCATACAAAACATATTCAAGGGTTCTTCAGTTGTCACATCAGAAGAAAAAGTGGTGCACCTGGGACCTAGGCAAGGCGCATACCTTAAAATGTGCCTCACCTGTGTGCCTAGGTGTGCCTTTTAAATTACTGAGGGTGACATCAATGCTTGAAATGGGTGCTTAACAAATTAGGTTGCTATTGATTCTCAGGTAGCTATTCATTATATGACATATAGAGGCTAGGTATTATCAGCTATTTATAATGCCACACCTTTGGTCTCTTCTTGCCCTCTGGTTCATCATGCAAGGGGGGAACAATAAACAGATCTTATATTTAAATTTATCCAGCTTAATATGATAGGAAACTGGATTTGAACTCAGACAATTGGATACAACTGAAAGTTCTAAATTGGAAAAGACAATCACAATAAGATACTAAAATAAGCGGACACAAACAAATTCTTGGATGAAAAGAAAGACACAGGAGAAGATGCCTATAATACTGGTAACCACATGCTTTGCTGAGCAACTCTAACAAATTAGATTTACTTGTTATGATAGAATGAAGATAAGCATACCCCTTTTTGAAGCACAGTAGTTATTCTCCACTACCCTTAGACACCCATGTCTTGTTGGAGCAGAATATGCAACAAATATTCCTGTAGCATGGACTATCATGAGTATATGGATCATGCAGGGCAAAGGCAAAACAAAACTATAAGGAAAGTTGAGCAGAACAATTAGTGGGTGTTTGGCACCAATGCATTTCACAATTGTTCCATTTCATCAGCTTGCCTTATCAGAAGAAAAGGAAAGGAAACACTGTTAAGTCATGTTTGGCAAGCCATTTTTGAAAAGGAAAAAAAAATTGCTGCAATGATTACATCTTGGAATTCAGGAGAGGGGGTTTCTTGAATCATCAAAATGGTGTTTCTTCATTCTTGAATCACCTTGGTGATCTTGAACCACCAAAGTGATGTGGCACATTGAAATATGAAAAAGCTAACAGCTTTTATCAGATGTCATACACTTGTCATAATGAAAATATTAAAATGTTATAAAAATTTGTAAAGTCAAAGCACTTTAAACACCCTATCAGCTAGGGGTGTCCATAACAAACCAAATAACTGAACTGAACTGAGAAAACCAAACCGGAAAATGTGGTTTCCGAACCAATTGGTTCGGTTTCAGTTTGCCATTTTTGAAAACCGAAGAACCGGTTCGGTTTTCGGTTTACTAAACCCTGGTATATATTTATATGTATATTATACATTTTTAATATATGTCACGTATTATCTATATATTATACATAAATATATATGCATTATATATAAATATATACATATATTATATATTTTTATAACATTTATAAGGGCAAATTTCTTAAACTACCCCTATTATTTATCTAATTGACAAACTGTACCCTTATTGTTTAACTATTGCCTTAAACGACCCCTACTGTTTTTGACAATTGACTAGCTCTACCCCTGCCATTAGCATCTGTTAATGTTCCGTCAAAATCCGCACACATGTGACACCACGTGACGTATAATTTTTTTTAAAACCCAATATTACCTTTCGACCCTCTCCCCCTCCCTTCTCCTCCTTCACTGTACTGTGGCTCCGGGATTGGTCTTGAATGGCGAAGAAGATCATTAGCTGAAAACCAATGTTCTACTCAGTCAGCCCCATACATGTGTGCCTTCAAGACAACATCTCCTCTTTCATCTCTAGCATCACCTTTTCATGATAATACATAGGTAAATCCTAGAATTTTGGGCATTTTCTGCAGGGAAACTACAAAAAGGATGCGAAGGTGGTGGTGAATGTAAAGGTGAAAGGAAGAAATAGAATTGAGGCTAATGGAATCTCTGGATTCTACTCAAATGAGTGACGGATTTGGTTAAGTTGAAGAGTTTCTTTTGAATAACAGCTGGATCATACTAATCTTCATCATCTTTGTCTTCCATTAACACTTGTCAGTATTTAATAACTTTAAATACAAGAGCTTTAAACAACATCTCCCCCCTCCTGTCAAAGAGAGTGGTGGTTCCAGCAGCAGTTCCGACTGGACAATGGAAATAGAATAGCAGAGTTACATGCTTAGAGGGCAGTCGATGAGGCTCAATTTCCCTGAGTTGGCAGGCAGGCTTCCTCGCTCTCCACCTTCAACCTTTATGCATTAGAACAACGTATAGAAATTGGTGCTGAAGATTCGTTGTTCTCGTGCCAATTTGTCCAAATTAATAATGCCAGTTCGTGCTTTCCTGGTGGTTTCAGGAGGGATTCAATGCTTCAAGAAGGGATTCTATGTCGAATTCCTCCCTCCAATGGACAGCGTTCTTGATCATGGCGAAGGCATCCTTAACCTTGAAATCACTGGCTCAGAGGAATTTCAGGAGGATCACATCGCTCAGCTCATCCTTGAGTAGGAATCCCCCAGAAAGAGACCTCCTCTGGAGGTGGGAGTCACACAACAGCTACTTCTTCTTCTTCTTTCTTCTTTGGTTCAGCCGGAACTGCGAGAGCCGCCGCCACAACAGCAGTAGAAGAGGGGGCCTCCTTTGGAGGTGGTGGGGGTGGCAAAGCAACTACTTCTTCTTCTTTCTTCTCTGGTTCAGCCAGAGCAGCAGGAGCCTCCGCCACAGCAGCAATAGAAGAGGAAACAACCATAATGATCTCCTCAATGGCCTCAACAGTCTTAGCACCATTGTCATCGACAGTAGTGGTAACTGTCTCAACCACCTCAGCGACCACCACAGTTTCAGTATTTTCTTTCACTTTCACTTCCTTAGCTCCGGTTCCAGTTCCACTTTCACCTGAAGGATTATTAGCTAAACCGCTGGTCAGATTAAATGAGCTCCGTACCTTGAAGGTCAAGTCATCACTGTGGAGAAGGCAAGGAGGAGAAGAGGTCGAACATCAACCCCTGGCAAGTCTCTGGAGTGAAAATTTTTACTCTGCCTCATTTTGAAAATTTGGAGGAGAATAATGTGTAAAAATAGTCTTTTTTTGTCTTTCCGTTAACGGCGTTGATGGAAAGGAGGCTTTAGACAATTGTTAGAAAACATAGGGGTACTCTAAGACAATATGTAAACAGTAGGGGTAGAGTTAGTCAACTAGCTAAACCACAAGGGTAGTTTAAGAAATTTGCCCTATTTATAATATATTATATTATTATTTATATAATATATATTATAAACATAAGAAAACGAAAAACCAAAACCAATCAACCGGTGGTATCAGTTCGGAGAAATCAAAAAACCATTAGGACCAGTTCGGTTTGAAAAAAAAATGCTTATGGTTCGGTTAAATGAACCATGGACATCCCTACTATCAGCATGCATCTCCGCCAAATAGGTTTTTGTGTACTTCCCACCCCACCCCCCCAAAAAAAGCAGGGGGTGTCTTTATTGATTCTTAGCGAAACAGAATGCTCGTGAAACACATTGGTGGAAAACACCCAGTTACCCACTTAGTTAGACTGCTGGAGTTAGTTGATTCCTAAGACTCCTCAAAAAAAAAGGTTTCAAGCAAGACTACAAGCAACGCTGATGAAGCAAGAAAGTTTACTGAACAATTTCTTTTTCTTGTTTAATAACAAAAATATTATCATTAAATAATGAAAAAAATCATTCAAAGGTATGAGAAGTTTATTCAACATGCCAAGGAAATAACCTCCACAAAGCAGACATTAATTTCCATGTGACTCCCTATGGAGTGGAACCAAGCACTGATCTTTTTTTTGATAATTGAACCAAGCACTGATCTTACCAATCTTACCTTCTTTCTACAATCACCATTCCTAGAAAGGGCTTGAAATAAAAGCCCCTCAAAAAGTTAGGGGAAAAAAAATGACAAATTACAGAACTAGGGGCCTATCATTTCTTTTATCAAATGTCCAATCAAATTTATTCAAAACAACCGTAAAACTCATGGATAAGTTGCAAGAATCTGACGATAATTTAAGGGGTTTTTTTCTCAGAAACGGATTCAATTGTAGCATTTTTGTCATTAACAATGATTGATGAGATTCTATTAAATGGAGAAAAGAAAATCCCTATAGGTCTGACTGTATGAACAAGAACAACAGCCCATGGCTGACAAAACAGATTTGATCTTTCGCAACAGCCTAATAGATTAAACCCTGGACCAGGAGATCCCTAGTCTAGCTCTAATCTTACCATGTGTCCTAGCCAAAGAATCAATTATGCTATTAGCTGACCTGTTAAACTATCTGAATTAGCCACTCAGGCTAGATAAAGCCTTAGCTTCTCTGGTCAGGTGTCCAAGGGTCCAATGGCCATCTTCTGTAGAAGATGTCCAGCCAATTAAAACTTGACAGTTTCCCTCCACTATTAGTCCATGCCACCCAAAGGAGAAAGCTATTTTTAGGGCTTGCAAAAAATCAATGAGTTCAATTCTAACAGATTTGAATCATAAACTGCACAATAAACCATAAGTTTTAACAACTAAAATTTAAATGGGTCCAATGTCCAAAAAGAATATAATATTGAGAATTTCAATCCAAGAAAGATCATATATAAAGAGATCTAAAAGGAATATAAAATAAATAGAAAAGTTCAAGAAATGAAAGGGAAAGTCGGGAAGTGCAAATGAGGAAAAGATTTGAAGTCTTAGTTTTTTTATCCATCTTTTCTTTGGTTTTGATTGAAATATCAAAACATTTGTCAAAAGTTCAGAATGAGCAGTGCAACAGTAAGAAAAAAGAAAAAAGAACCAGTAAAATGAAGGCTGTATTCGACCCAAATAATAATTGATAGAACATTGAGAGAAATACAATCTTAACACTTTTCAATTGGTTGTAGAGAAATTAGAAGCAAAAGAATCTTACTTCTTAAGAAAAATATCAAGCATTTGCTTAAATTGAGTGAAGAAACCTCCTCTAAATCCCAACCACTAATATCTTCCTATCTAAGAACATCATAAAGAACTCAGCTGGACAAAGATGTCCATTGACTTCACTTAAACTAAGTGTTGTTCATTAATTGCACTGAACAAATGACCACCCCAACTTTCCTCTTGGACGAACAAACATGAGACCATGCTACAAGGTGCCTGGAACAGCTTGTATTCTTGTACCATAGCTCTTTTTTTTAATTATATAAAGATCACCATTACCATAAAAAAAAATATGGATCCACCCCTATCTGATCCAACAATACAAGTATTTATTAGTAAAGTTGGTTTGAATGTTAGACATTTACTAAAGAATCATAAGTATAGGACTCATACAAGTTGTTTATCGATCAATAAAAAAGACTCATACAAGTTGTTCTCAATTTATTTTATTCATGATAATATCAAAGTCATTTTTAGTTCATTTTATTAATAACATATACTATTTTGATTATTTTTACTTTAATTTATTAATGGTAATTAATATCCAAATTTATTGCAAATCCAATGGATAGGTATATCCAATCTATTTGCAAACGTATTAGAGAAAGAATGATTCTTTCTTCATCCAACCAGACATGCAAGGATTCTTATTCAGATAAAAGATATGAATTCTATTCCTTTAGATTCAGACGTTGTTTGCTGGACAACTATCAAAAAAAAATGTGTTCTCCTCTTTTTATCATTAACACTCTTACATTTTATTATAATTAATAAAAGGAATAAGTGATATTTACAAGTGTATTGTGCCAATCACACCATCATTTTGTTTAGGCTAGACCAGCTGCCTAACCCGTCAATATTCCTTTTTTTCGATCACATATTACAATCATCTCCCCCTTCAATTACAATGTGGATTGTTCTCTGCTTGACATAGTCACGGAGTTACTTACGGTTCTAGGCACTAGGCAGTGATGCCATATAGAGGCTGAAAACAGAAAAACACTAATAACTTGAAATCATGGGATCTCAAAAGACTACGCAAAAAAATAAAAAATAAAATAACGGGAAAAAAAAAAAACTTTCGCCTAGAAGTTGTCGATGCATCCAGTAGCTTGCAAGTACATCTGTAAAATCCTGAGACTATACCCTAAGACAAGCAAAAACTGCACAACAGCACAATAATGTCATATCGTTCCAGTTAAATTTCGCTTGGCATTTGAATTTTGTAACTAGTAGCTAATAGACGCACCTAGTGAATAGAACCAAGCAAACAACGAGCCTAGTAATTCCACTGACCTGCCAAAAGGTACACAACGGATACGAAGAAAATGATTGCTGACGGCATGAAAACAACCATCCAGTAATAGTCGGCCGCTTCCTGCTCCGTGAGGTAAAACGCTCGAGGAAAGAGATCAGAATCTGCACTAAAATTAACCGATAGAGGCTGTAGTCGTCGGTCCCGGCAAAACGGCCTCTTCCCCTCATCGGCCGGAAAAACGATATTCAAGCTAATGAAGACGGAAACAAGAACTGCCAAGCAAAGAACCGTCAGAGAGACCGTGATTATAGGCCGCTGGAGGCGGCTCCAAGCTTTCTCTTCCTCTCGGAGGCTATCATACTCATACTTCGGCATGAAAGCCTGGCGAAGAGCGTCACCAATGATGGCCATTGAAATAATCGAAAGATGCGTTTTAGGACTTCTGGATCTAGACTCTCCTATCCCTAAACCTACCTTCTGAAATACAAGCCATGAGCCGAAGAAATAATTGAAGGATGGAATGGCTCCTCTTCCATCACGAAGCGAGAACACAGGTAGACTTTCTGGACCCGATCTTTCACTAACCCTAGCTCTAGTTCCTGGTTTTCAGAGTCTGTGATTTCAACTATTATTTGGTTTCTGAGATAATTAAACCCCTAATCGCTGCTTACATCGAGAAGAGAACAATTGCCTTCCTTCTTTTCTTTTTTGGTGAACGAAGAAACTGAATCTTTCACGCTTTCACTTTCTTTCGGCACTTACACGCTTTTTTTTTATGAATTCCTTTCCTTGTAATAAAATAAATAAAGTATTTGTATACCAGCCGTAAGCCCGTTACTGATTAGTTTTGGCGGGTATTGCAGGTTTCCGTTTTCTCCCTCTTCGAAAATGATAACAAGCTCTGTTTGGCTCTTACAAAATAATAATAATAATTAGTTGTGTTTGGCATGCTTAACCAATTGATGACTTATGATCGCCCAATTAGTATGATCTTTGGCTCATTGTAGCAAATACCTAGGATCAAATCCCTATATTACCGAAAAAAAAAGATCAAATCCCTCTTGCCACAAGGGTTAGGACTTAGGGGTTAAGGTAGAGCAGTCAATGGGTCAGTTTTTTATGATTTACCGAATTGAATTGAATCGATTATGTTGGCTCTAGTTCTATGATTTTGTCCTATTAATAATTGGGTTAATCCCGGTTATTGTTTATCCCAAACCAATTATTTTATAAATATATAAGATTTTTCTAAATCTCTTATGAATTTTATTATATTTTATGTTTGAAATGATATTTTGATAAATCATATATGAGATAACATTAGTTAAAAATGTTTAATCTATTAATATATAAATAATTTAGGGAGAATGATGATTCAGTCTAGGGTTAAAACTTGTAGGCCCAAAGTACTATTGGGGTAGGTGCTCGGAATTGATGCCAATTCACGGGCGGGCATTGATGCATAAAGTGTGGATTGTTGACATTTTGAATGTTTATAATTTTGCAGTGGAAATGAGAAATCTGCACCTGTTCGTACTTTTTTGAATAATTTAGTAATTTCTTATTATTTTTATTGAGGTTGTATGGCAAAAGTTTACGTTTTAAGTTATTATTTAAATAAATAGACATAATTTTCTGTTCACCCCGACCCTAGTCCCTAGGTTAAGGGGATCCTCATTGGGACCCTTGCTTGTAATAATTCTTGTATTCACTCGAGACTCATTATAAGAATTGATACTTTAAACCTATAAATTTTATGGATACATTTGATTAATTCTCATGAATTTTGTGATTTCAAGAATCACTTCTAAGTTTGGATTTATGTAAGTGGTTGGAATTAGACTTGTTCATCGGCCGGGCCAGGCCGGGCTCAATTCGGGCTTTTATTCTTTATAAATAGGATTTTGTTAGGCTCGAGCCCGAGTTCGGCCTAATCAACGGGCCTACAACTTGGGCCCAAGCCTGACCCTAATAAAAAGCCCAAAGCCTGACTTAACAAAAAGATGGCAAAGAGAAAGAACTCACCACCGGTGACTGTGTTTCGCCAGTGTTGAGTTCGTGTCTGAGAGAGAGAGAGAGAGAGAGAGAGAGATGACTCACTGTCGCCGTCGATGCCTATGTTTGTCGCCTCGTTGATGCTTGAGTTCGCGTCTGAGATTCTGAGAGAGAAGAAGTGAGAAGAGGAACGAGAGAGAGAGAGAGAGAGAGAACTCACCGCCGGTCCGCCGGAGTTCACTTGTTGCGCCGGTGAGTGTTCGACTATTGAGAAGATAGAGGTTTGGCTAGAAAGATATGAATGAGAAGAGATAACTATTTTAGGGTTTTTGGTTTAACTTAAAAGTCAGGCCTGGCTTTTTTAACAAATCCCAAGCTCGGCCCGTAAAATAGTTGAGCTCGGACTTTTAAGCCCGAGGTCAAGCTTGCGGGTTTAAATCTACATTCAAGCCCGTCTGGGGGTTGGGCTACCTGGCCCATGAACATGTCTAGTTGGAACTAATTCTTTTTTTTTTCTAGAGTGAAAAAGTCATTCTAAGAAACCCAAAAAAAAATCTTTGAGATTGAAACTTTAATGCCATGTTTGGTTCATTGCTCTGAGCCTCATTTTTTTAATTCTTGCTCATTATAGGTAAGAATGAATAACATTAGAATATTTGGTTACAAAATTATTGCCATGAGCAACATTATTTTTAGAATGAAAAATCAGCCCCATAGCACAAAAAATGAGTAGCCTGTAGCACGAAAAATAATCATGCCCCATCTTGCTCGTTTTCATTGTTTGAGGAAACTCTGCCTACAAAACCGTTGCTATAGATGTTTACTTTTGCAAAAGCACTTTTACGAAAGCACTTTGATGAAAGCACATTTACAAAAGTACTTTTATACGAAAGCTCTTTTATAAAAGTAAATTTATAAAAAGTACTTTTGCGAAAGCACTTTTGCAAAAGTAAAGTACTTTTACGAAGCACTTTTGCAAAAGTACCTTTATGAAATCACTTTTGCAAAAAGCACCTTTGTGAAAGGACTTTTATAAAAGTACTTTACTAGCACACTTTTACAAATGTACTTTATGAAAACACTTTTATAAAAGCACTTTTGTGAAAGTATTTTTATAAAAACACTTTTTACTGAAGTACTTTTACGAGATTACTTTTATAAAACATATATGCCAACTATTAAGCATTGACTGTTGGAAACCTAGGCTGACGATTTATGAATACCGACACAATTTTTTTTAATAATGAAAATGAGCAACATAGGACACTTGTCATTCTGAAAAAAATCCATTTTTAGGAAAAAATTTATTTGGTTCATAACAATATTTTTCTCATTCTACCTATTTTTTACCCATTCTTGTCAATTTTAAAAATTCATCTTGGATAAGAATGAAAACAAGTGAGAATTGAACCAAACTAATTATTCAAATTCTTTATAACATAATTTTTACCATAACCCGTTCAACTATCCAATCAGTGTAAGTCTGAAAATTATAGCCTACCTACCCTTAATGGGCACATTAATTATCATGTATCTTAGCTTGTAAGTTTGTAACATGTACTTATCCTTTTAATCAATTAATAAAGATTAGCTGCACGTTATGGCCCTACAAAATTAGTACTAAGGGTCAGTTTGGTTTGCAGTTGGAATTGGAATTGGAATGGTCTATCCCATAGTTTGTTTGATTATGACAGGAATGGAAATAAGAATATATATAGGCCCCTGACCTGTTTACGGACCAAGTTTCGGGCCCAATTTTACACTGTCTCGGGCTCGGGTAGACCCATTAGAATTTTAACAAAAGCCAAACCTGAGCGGGGCCCATGAACAAGTTAGATAGGCCCCCCACCAAGATACTTGGCTCCGCCCCTGAATGCATCCATGGTGATTCTAGTCTTCTTTGAACCCTTATCCTCTCTCTTCTAACATCAGAGAAAGAGAAACTCAGTAGCTCTTCATAGGGGTAAAGTGTTAACGACCCAATACAAAAAAGGGGTAAGTTGATCATTTTATACATTGGATCAATGATTATAATATCTCTTTTAGAGATTGGTAATGTTTTGGTTTTTTAAACATCAAGGAATCCAAGTATGGTGGTGAAGAGGCGTGATAATAAAAAAAGGTAAATTACAAAAAGACCCCCTGTACTATGGGATCTGTGATAAAACCCCCCTATATTTTGTTTTGCAACAAAAACCCCTGTACTTTGTTTTGCGATAAAAGCCCTCCTATAACCCCTGTACTTTGTTTTCTCTCCCTCACTGTCTTCTCTTTGGCCACGTGGAGAATTAAAGGATGGATACGACCCTTTAGTTCAAAACCTCATTACCATTGTCACACTTGATGATATCGTCTTCATTGTATACTCTGAAGCTAATGGTGACGGAGCTAATCCTTGCGAAGCTGGAGCCAGCGTCACGTTCCTTGACCAGTCGCCGCTGCTAATCCTTGCGGAGCCGGAGCCAGCGTCATTGGAGGTGATTAGAGCTGGCGTCATTGGAGCCGGAGCCAGCGTCACGTTCCTTGACCAGTCGTCGCTGCTAATCCTTGCAGAGCCAGAGCCGGCGTCATGTCTTCATTGTATCCCTGCATGATGTGAATGTCGGCAACAACAGTAGCAGTAATTTAGTGTTTTCAGTAGCAGCAATTTAGTGTTCTCATCCCATCTTATCTATTCAGTATTCTTACCTTATCTGCTTTCAGTAGTAGGGATTAGTAGGAGTCTCATCTATTCAATGTTCTTATCTTATCAGTTCAGTAGTATGGATCAGTAAGGAGTCTTATCTTATCTTATCAGTATGATAGATTAAGGGAGTCTTATCTTATCTTATCAGTTCAGTAGGATAGATTAGTAGGGAGTCTTTCTAATTAGCAAGGAGTATTCCTAAAAGTAGGACTCTTATCTCTTGTAATCTCTTATTTAAGAAGCTGAGAATATTGAATAAAATCATCGAAAATTTCAGTCAAGAAAAAGAACAAGGAGAATTAGGTGATCTCTTGGACAAATCACCATTAGGGCACCAAGATAGGTTCATCAAGAAAAAAGAGGAACAAGGAAAAACAGGAGCCCGTGGACCGACCCATGACGAGATCCTATTCCCAGGCCCATAACACTGCAACACTTGCGGAGCCGGAACCGGCATCACGTTTCCACCCCCATTGCTACTGCTAATCCTTCGTTCTGTTCTGTTATTCCTTTACTTTCTCTAATGGGTTCGTTGCCCTGATTAATGGGTTGTTTGCAGAAGTGGGCAGGATCGAAGTAACGCACTTGGAGGTGATTATTCGTTGCATCCGCAGCCGGGAGGATTCCTTGACCAGTCCCATATGCTTTACAGCAATGGAGGTGAGAAGGGTCCTATTGTTTTTCTGCTATTTCTTTTGCCCCATGGGATTTAGGCCCAATTTTGGGGGGCTTAAACGAGGTCTGTCTGGTTCTAAGATGTGCCTCTTTTGGTGATCTTTTGCAGTGGGCACCAATCCACGCAAGATAGGCAGAGAAGCTATCGCTGCTGCTGCGGCAGCCGGGGCACCAATCGGCCTCTTCTCTCTGCAATCTCAGACACCACCAACGCTGGTGAACCTTGGCACCTTGCACAACTCCATAACTAACAAGGCAACAACCCAATGTCACAGCAACAGCAGAGTCTGGTTCTTCCCTCTTCGATTATCTCATCCTTCCTAACAAAAGATCTCACTGCTCAATTAAAGCAACAGAGAGACGAAATTGATCAATTCCTTCAAGCCCAGGTACTATATTCTATTATTCTCCTGTTC